AAAAATTATTTGTTTTGAGTGACTTTTTACCAACATCAGTGAACTGTAAATATGCAAGTGTGTTGTTAAATTTTCAAAATACTAACTTAAAATCTTACTTTAAGTAAATATTTTAGGGCAAAGGGGGTTCGGTTAAGAAAAAAGTTTGGGAATTGCTGCTCAAATGAGTAATAAAAGTACATAGCACATGATGATATTGACAGCAATAGTTCTTTCTTACTTGGATTTAACTATTTTGTTGCTATTTTCTGTTTAATAAGGTATCTTTTTTGGCAGCATCATGCTTATTGTCTGACCTGCACCTATTATACAGTACCTTTAAGTGCTGTCTAGGTAGGCAGCTCACTAGGTTTTGAAACAACTCTCTATGTTTTAAGAACCGACCTTAGTCAAAGCTTTAGCTAGAAGAAATACATTACAATTTAAAATGTAGTAATACACAACAAAATAATGATGATCTTGTAATTTTACAGTTTCTTTCTTTCTTTCTTTCTTTCTTTCTTTCTTTCTTTCTTTCTTTCTTTCTTTCTTTCTTTCTTTCTTTCTTTCTTTCTTTCTTTCTTTCTTTCTTTCTTTCTTTCTTTCTGTAAGCAGAGGTTGTGGCAGTGATTGTACTTTTGCTCCAGTTTTTGCTGTGCTATTTTTAGGGTGTGTGGGTGGGCTGGCTCTCTTATAGAGAGGGTTGGTGTGTGTGTGTGTGTGTGTCTGTATTTATGTGTGCTTTTAATTCAGAATGGTCTGTGTTGAAACCGAAATAGTAATTAAAGTGTTTTGAAGACACAGGCACATGCACACAATGTTTGTGCATATCAAGTGCACAATCACATCTTGTTTTAATTTATTTTTGCCGATTTTTTTATCTCTTTTCAGTGCTTTTTACTTTTGTCTTTTTTTTTGTTATTAACATATAATTTTGTAAAGAAAAAGTGAATAAATATTAAACATAGATATAAAAAGAAACACAAAAAACTATTTACAAAATGTGTATGCATACACAGCAAAACATTCAATACCGTCCAAAAGTTTCGAGTCAGTACATTCAGCAAGGACACATTGAATTGATCAAAAGTGACCGTAAAGACATTTATAATTAGGGGTGGGAATCACTGGGTACCTCACGATACGATATGATACGATACGATACATGATGATACATGGCTCACGATATAGATAATATCATGATTTATGATACAGCAATTCTGCGATAATCAATATATTGCTAGACAATCCTATAATGATAAACAAAACAAAATGCCTGTGAAAAGGTTAAGTGCCGGTTTTCTCTCTTTATTCAAGTCCAAACTGTTAGAAAACAGCACAAAAAGTTTTTCAGTCTGTAAATCAAAGGTCCCGTTCTTCATGTTTTTTTTAAGCTTTGATTGTGTTTACAGTGTGCAATATAACATTGTGTTCATGTTTCGCGTGTAAAAAAAACACAGTATTTTTCACACAATTTACTTATCTGTATACCGCTGTTTTCACTGTCCAAAAAACGGCCCGATGACTTCCTTGTTCTATGAAGTCCCTCCTTCAGAAATACATAGCGAGTTCTGATTGTGCCAGCGGTTCCTGTGTTGTGATTCGACAGCAGCTTATCGCACGTTGCCCGGAAAGGTCACGCCTCTTACCATAAATTGGAGATGCATGCGCAGCTGAAGTGCTCCTTCTCCGTGGGAGCGCAACAAGACCACGCCCCTTTTTTTGTGTATTCCTGTGGGCGGAGATGAGTCAAAAAACTGTTCTAGTTACGTCATTAAAAAAGGAAGTAGAGGGATGTAGTCCAAACCGGCCGTTCGCTGTATGCTTTGAAAGGGGACTTCTGTTAAATAAAATATCTTGCTAGGCATTGAACTTTGAGCTTTATAATTTTACAGGTATTATTTATGCTCTAACAGCAACATTACACACTAATTAAAGTTTGAAAAATGGAATCGTGAAGAACGGGAACTTTAAATGAAACATTTTCATTTAGATCAGGGTGATGGCATTGCAAGTGACTTTGCATGTTCGTGGTATTACTAGAGTTTCCGCTAGAAAAAAATGGTGCCGGTCATAGTGACCGGCAGAGGTTTTGTTTAACGGACATTTTGATGATATGCCGGTCAAATATCGCCTCTTAATTTGTCAAGTTGAGGAAAACTGGAGGCAGGCTATGTAACTTAAAAAATGACATAATCAGGCCGTATAGAATGCAACATGTTATTATTAGCCTAACTTTCAAATAGACGGAAAAAAACATGAAAGTCCGATTGGCGTCAATCAACACCAATTGTTTTTTACTATAGTTTCACACACATTCACTTTTTGAAACATTGAGGCACGGATGTAGGTCTACCTAATACAAATAGGCTAAATAAAACATCTCCAGTTAACTAGCAGATCATTCATTTAGTTCGCTATTAAATAAGAGATCTAGCGCTAAAATCAGTTGTTTTTGAAATCAAGCTGAGCGCTCGTGTCCGCTGCTATCTGTTGCATGGACGACGCGCTGCGCAAATTGCGCAATCTTCACTCGGACGCGCGTTTCAATCTATCGCCGTTGCGGACAGGCGAATAGAGCAGCACATACAATTTATACAAGACGAAATAAACTTTAAAGAAAGGCTTTACAAAACTTAATAAGTGGTCAAAATCTGACCCATTCCAAATGTTTTCCGATATATTCCGGTCATCTTATGATCCTATCTTACTCATCTCATGCGGTTCTCTTTTAATATAGGCTAATCAACATAGATAAAAAAATAAAATAAAAAAAAACATTATTTTTTATAAATATGAAACGTATGTTTAAGTTTTTTAACTTATAATAAGCGTCACACCGCTCCGCTTTGCTCACATGCTCTGGTGTGTAGCCTAATGCATGTGTGCGTGCATGTGGTGGAGGGGTGCGATTTTCGAATAATAATCAACCCAGCGATCTTCGAATATTATTTTTGCTTGAAAATTTCGTTTTGTATAAATTGTATCTTAATTTTAATCAATGTTTCATCAACAAATTTGCCTGGATTAATAAATAAGAGGCAAATATAGTGGACAATATAATCAGGACGGAGTCGCCGGCGCGCGCACACTTCTCTCTATAGGCGCGTTCACTACTGCGAAGATGGCGAGTCTGCATTGTCAACTTTATCAATTTATCAATAATTCAAATGTTTCATGCATAGGCCTAATCATTACTTTCGCCGGTTTTGTGTCAAGCTTTATTTCAGGTGTTGCGTGATATCTCTGCGCTCAAGTATCAGTGCTTCGCCTGTGCTTCCAAAAATGCATTTGCCCACCTATCTAAATGTAGGGGAGACCGTGAATAACCCCAATAAAAAAATAAAAAAAAAACGGTGGAGTGTTCCTTTAAGGCTAGCCTGGGCCTGGCCATTTCTGAAACATCTCACTCAATCGTTCGTTGTTTAGGTCTATATTACAGCCGTTTTAGGCGTGCGCTTTATTTGAAATGCAGCATGCGATGTTGTTTAATAACTTTCAAACGGTAGAGGCTGTTCCTTTATAACATAGCCGAAGGTCGGTGTATTTTTGCTTTATACATTTTAGGCTTATTCTCAAATAAATTCATATTGTGTTAGGGGGGCGGGATTATTACGCAATTGTTATCGGACAATTTGACGGGAGAGATTTAATTTTGTCGGACATTTCATTTTTTTTTCCGGCCAATGTCCGGTAATTACCGGACAACGGAAACCCTGATTACAAGTGCACTTTACTTTTACCAGGCAGTTCTTGTCTATTGTGATTGTACAATTTTGTTTGGCCCAACAATGGTACAAACAGTGGGTCCAGTCTTTGGACTTAAACGTGGCTGGGGCATCTATTATTTTACTCACACTGCTGCCGCCATCCCGTTGCAAACCTTTTTCATAGGCTTATGAACTTATGTTCACATTTCCTTCATCCATGTGTTAAGCACCACCGCGAGGAGGCATGAAGTAGGAAAATCTATTTAGAGAGCCTTATTTCATTAATTGAAATATTGATATTTGGCGCCAGCGTATCGTACGGAGAAAGACAATGATTTATTGCCCTTTCGATATTTTGTCCCACCCCTAATAATGTTACATAAGATTTCTATTTCAAATAAATGCTATTATTTTGAACTTTCTTATCATCAAATAATTATTAAGCAGCACAACTGTTTTCAACATTGATAATTATAAGAAATCTTTCTTGAGCAGCAAATCATCATATAAGAATGATTTCTGAAGGATCATGTGACACTGAATAAAATTACATTTTAAAATATATTAAAATAGAAAACGGTTATATTACTGTAGTTTTGATCAAATAAATGCAGACTTTGTGAGCTAAGTTACTTTTAAAAAACATTTTTTTTTAAATCTTACATACTCCAACCATTTAATATGCATGTTTGTATAGACATAGACATAAAGATTGTGTGTGTTGATGTTGGTTGGTTGGTAAGCAGTACAGAGATGTCCCAGAATGCCAGTGATTTCAGTGTCTACACTCAAAGCCAGTGACACACCCATGGTTTACCACACACTGGCTCTGACACACACTTTACACTCACTTACACACACACACACACACACACACACACACACACACACAGGGAAAGCCCCGAGCTTGCAGAATCATAGACAGCTTGACAACTGGTGTGTCTCTCAGTTTTCCAGAATGTTCTGGGTGTGTGTCAGTGCTAAGTCTAAAACCTCTGTAGTTCGTTATTGAGAACCATCAAAACGATTGTCCTTCTTAATAGCAAATATGCCAGTTGTATGAGCATATTTTGGACATTACTTTTGCAGCAAATCAGGTTCTGTTCAAGATGCAACACACACAGACTGCAGACAGAGTCTGCATGAAATTGCAGAGTCACTGCAGTGCATCAATACTCATCAGAATACGACGCTCACAGCCTGCCAACTCGTTGACCTTGTGTGTGTGTGTATCTGGGTGTGAATATTCTGAATGAAAAGATCTCTTTCGTGATGAAACCTAACTTCTTTTTTTTCTTCTGTCTCTCTCAGCCCAAGCTAATGGCGAAGGATCTTCTAGACCTGGTGGCGTCCCATTTCAACCTGAAGGAGAAGGAATATTTTGGAATCTCTTACGTAGATGAGACGTACGTATACCCAACACATCCGATGAAATACTACACATGCCTCTAACCTATGAGAAAAGCCTGTCAGATGAAGCTGTAGTCATGAATAGTTCAGCTCTCTGACTGGATGAGTGAGCATGCTGTGATAATGCCACAGGAGATGATTGGCTTCCCTCTTTCTCCCTTCTTCACTTTCTGCGACAACCAGCTTTTCATTTAGTCCTACACAGTGTGACCTACCGCTGTGCGACATTTGTTAGACGTATCTTCGCATGATTTCTTTAAGGCACACTTAAGAGCAGCATCACGTCTGTTCTCGCTGCTAGTGTGCTTGGGGAAATGTGTTATATGTAGTTTTCAAAGATTTTGAAATGTTGTCTGGTGACCTTTGATCCGCCCGCTGATCCTTCCCAACAAGGGGTTGGCAGTTTGCAGTCGCCAAGGACAACATGCAAATAGACAAATGGATTTCTGTCAGAAACAAGTGCACACACAGTGTGAGTTCAAATTTTCCTATACAAATACAATTTAAAACACATGGTGTTGTTGCTTGTCAGTGGTACTTGCTAAGACTAGCATCAGTATTTTATATATCAATGCAATACTTTCCTGAGTGCTTTTGTTTTTGTCATCACTGACTAAATTATGCATGAAAATGCACATGTGATGACATCTTGAACATAAAACACCCCTCTTGTGGCTCATTTTTCACATGATGTTTTTTAACGTTATGTGGTACTATGAATGAGACATTGTAAGATGTTGCAAGACTTTTCCGATTGCTGTAGCAGATACTATCAGTCATTTCTCTTGGGCTGTGTTTCAGGGGTCATTTCAGCTGGTTGCAGTTAGATCGTCGTGTGCTGGAACATGAGTTTCCCAAGAAATCTGGACCCATTGTGCTGTACTTCTGCGTAAGGTAAGTACAATGGCAACAAAAACACAATAAACACGTTTCAAAATCTAGTGAGCTGCGTTTTTAATCATCAAATTGGACGTTTGAATGCGAATTATCAAAAATAGAAATATAGTGGATTTGCTCGACCGCCATGAGTCACCGCAAGCAGAGTGATACAAACGTTGAAACAGCTCCAGTACTGATACTGGGGGAATATCGCACGGCTGGAAAAGGCTCTCAGCCAATCAGATTCAAGGACCAGAAAGAACTAATATTGTGTAAATAAATATAATGTTCTTTAAAAAAAAATCACAGTTGCATATAAAAAAACACAAGACTTTCAGAGTGAATTGGCGTCACCACTTCTGTCTGAGTATTTTCATATCGGGGGAGAGGGGTTGTGTCTGTGTTTGTTTATTCTTTCAAATTAGCGGGGTCAGTAAACCACAGCTCACTAGCAGTTACAGAGAACTTAGCCAATCAGAATCCACCATTCCTCTCATTAACACCCCCAGCAATTTGAGCACCATGGCAACAGCAGAGTGTTAATCAGACTGTGTTTGAATTGCAGAGCATGAGCAGATATCTGCTGGGAGGATTGATTCATTTATATTTTAATTGCATCTGCTTCGAAATATGACCAATACAAAGAGCAACCCAGTATGTTTATTGCTCATGTGTGTTTGTGTGACTGTGTGTGCGAGAGAGTTATAGTGGGCAAATTTGTTTGCTTCCTCACAGTATTTTACCGTGTAAGTCGCAATCAGCACACAGTCATACATCACCACTCTCGCTGTGGGTAGATGCTGGTTTATTGCTGTCAAGCTCCGCATTAAAATAGCTCAGCAATTGTTGGGACACATTTGGATTGCTTTTCTTTCTTTCAGTCTATTCCACTTGCATCCCTTAGCTTTTCTGGGTCACACACAGACACAAACACTTAAATGCACGCATACGCACGCATGCATTTTGCTTTAATAGGTGCTTGAGCTATTGCATGTCAGTGCAGTTTGAATTAGAGTGAAGGCCCCGTTTTAATGCATGCATGGTGTCCTGTGTACATCATTGTGTATGTGTGTGTTATCCTTTCTGCCTGTGATTGGGCTATTGATTGGAGAGAGCTAAAGTCTTTGATGCGTTTAAGACTCTGTCTCACTCACATCTCAAATTAAACCAGCTGTCAATGCTGTTTTAATCACTTTGATCTCTCTCACTTTCACTCATTTTCTCTCTCTCTCTCTCTCTAAAACTCTTTCTTCTCTGCCAGTTACTTCTTTACACAGTCATGGATTCAAAGCATATATCTTTGTGTCATGTGTCGTAGGGTTCATTTTAAGTTCATTGTGTGCCTCAGTGTATGTTCGAGGTCATATACATTACATGCATCTGTACATATCTATTAATGTGTGTGTCTGTGTAACCGTCTATATGTGAATGTCACAGCTTGAGGCTTCAGCTGAAATGAAAACTGTCATGCTGAGACCGCTTATTTATTCATGCTGATTTTGAGACAATTACTTGCGTGTTTGTTTGTTGTTGTAGTTCCCGCAAACTCTAATCTGAGTGCTAAATGAAGCTTGTACGGTGGTTATTTTCTTTTTATGGGTTTTGAGAGGGATGGAGACAGCAAGAGGATATAGCGAGTGTTTATGATGCCCTCTAGTGATTGGTTTTTGACTCTGTGTATATAATAAATTGTTTTTTTCAGTGAGTTCATTGAATGACCTGCTAAAGTGGAATCAGAATTGGTTACTCATACTGAAGAATTTTGAATCACATTCACAACTTATTTTAATCTGTTAATTGTTATTGTGTGTATATTGTATGCTAAACTACTGTCTTTAAACTTAGCCATTTTTGATTAGTGTATTTTCTCTTCAACAGGTTCTACATTGAAAGCATCTCTTACCTTAAGGACAATGCCACAATAGAGCTGTTCTTCCTCAATGCAAAGTCCTGCATCTATAAGGTAAACTGTTGTCACTGCTCTACCACTAGAGGGCAGTATTAGCTACTACCCCTTTGGTCAAGGTGCATACATTTGTTACTTCCATCTGTTCTCGTGGAGCATCTTAGCCATAAATGCCATGTAACAAATCACTCTGGAGCTGCCGGAAAATGACATCATGACAACACTGATTAGCTGATGGCACCATAAAAACATGCTCATTACCAAGCTCTTCTCTATCCGACTATCCTTCAGGCACCAAACAGCATAAAATAAAATGTCATTATATATACACATGTATGTAAAGTTTTTTTTTAAAAGAACTGCATTTAATTGATCAAAAGTAACCATATATTTTGACATTGTTAGAAACTATTTCTATTGCAAAAATACTGTATAAATATGCTGTTCTTTTGAACTTTCTATTCATTAAAGAATCCTAAAAAAACCCCCAATATATCGCAGTTTCCACAAAAATATTAAGCAGCACAACTGTTTTCAACATTGATGATAACAAATTTCTTGAGCAACAAGCAAGCTCACTTAAAGGTGCATTGCGCAACATTTCATGTTAAAAATACCCGTTTTTCTAACCCATACATGCTTAAACAATTGCCTGATGGGCTGAATGAGCCCTTCTCTGATCACTGCGATTGCCTCTATAATCCTGTACAGTAAAATAAATAAGAGGGATTCGGGCCGGAACGTGAGACTGGGCGTGACGTCATGCGCGTTCACGCTCCCCTGGCTATGTCTGGCAGGTTTGTGTATTCGCCGCCATTCTCCGTATTAGCGAAGACAACTCGAGCGACAAAACTTCAGTCAACTTTCGACAAAAGTAGAAGATGGATTCAAAGAGACCGGCTTGTAGTTCATAAACCCCAACGCAAACTCCACGCAAGACAAAGACAGTAAGGCAGTTTCGCTTGTCATCCCAGAGGGGGGCATAGTTCTGCAAAAACTCAGAGAGGTGGGCAATGCACCTTTAAATTGGAACGCAAAAGTCCACACTAGAGAATGATTTCTGAAGGATCATGTGACACTAAAGACTGGAGTAATGACTGCTGAAAATTCAGGAATAAATTACATTATAAAATATATTAACATAGAAAAATGTTCATTTAAATTGCAACAATATTTCACAATATCACATTTTTTTACTGTATTTATTATCAAATAAATGCAGCCTTGGTGAACATAAGAGACTTTTTTCAAAAACAGAACAAAACTTTTCAACACCAAACTTTTGATATATAAGTTTTAAAATGTTTCAAAAAGTGCTTCATTCTTCCAAAAACATCCTGTATTTGTGAATGTCATTTGTCGCATACCACACATTCCCACCATGAGCTCATTGCTCACACTTTACTTTAGAGTCAGCTTCCCAATATATGCCAGTACTGTGTGTGTGTGTGTGTGTGTGTGTGTGTGTGTGTGTGTGTGACATTCCTGAAATTCTTGTGTTCTGCAAAGGTAATGAATCGCTCCGTTTGTCTTGGTCATTTAAGTAGTAAAGACCCCATGGACTTCAATAAGCTCTCATCTAAAAAAAAAAACATCTGTGTGTATGTGGCTTTGTCCTGCTATTGATTACACAGGAAATAGCTGAAGTGATTTAGATAGACCCTTCAGTGATAAGTCAGCAGATCAGGTCATTAAAAAAGAGAGAGATAAGATAAGCGGCAGATTAATGGAGATGTCCTGTCTGTTGTGATCCTGAACCTAACTCTCTCGTTCTTTTTTCTCTGTCTGTCTCCAGGAGCTCATAGAGGTGGACAGTGAGGTGGTGTTTGAACTGGCCTCCTACATCTTACAGGTAAGATCATGTTGGACTGTTTATCATTTTATGCACCTTCATGAACCCTGCGCTGAACTTTTATGAAGTTCAGGACGTCTCAAACACACGTGTGTAAGCATTTTAGAGTCATATTCCGGTCACTACAGTATTTCAGCCTGACAGGGTGCTTTATTTTAAATCTAAAACAGGATGTTTCCTTTGTACTGTAAGTTAATCATATGAGGGAAGTACTTTAGAGAAATACGGTTTTCCTTTATGATGTGTATGTGTGATCCAGGTGTTGTAGTATCAGGTATGTTATGTGTGTTTGACCTTTCAGAGGATTCAGTCCAGATGGCTGCGACTGCATTCCCCACTGAGACACAGAAGCACCGTTCTGTGTATCAGAGGATAGAATCTTTCCAAGCGTTCTTGTCTACCAGCAAGGACTCATTATTGATTCTAAAATATGTCATTTTTCTCTCCCACAGGAAGGTAAAGGAGACTTCACGAGGTAAGAAGCTTTTTGAATGAATGAATCACCTTCCATTGACCCCCTTTAACATGCACACACTATCAAAGTTTCTATCAGTGTGTCATTGCAGAGTGAAAGCAGATCCAATTTGTGGCATATATCAAACTCTCCTTCCCACATAAGCACATGCACACGATTCAAGAGAGATGGAGAGAGAGAGGGAATGAGAGAGATATGGGGGTGTGAACCCTGGGAACGGAGACAGAGGGGAGGAAATGGAATGCAGAGGATAAACAGTGTTAAATTACACACACTAACCTCTGGCTCTCTCCATTACACACACACAGACACACACTCTTGAAACACTTTCTACACACAGTATCTCAGCTACAAATCTGTCACATGTGCATCCTTCCAGCTTTACTCTATCACTCTGTGTCACACAGTTATTATTACAATTTCAATTATTATTAATTCTTCTCTACATAGCTTGATAAAGAGAAATAATTAAAGTCACACAAGAATAAGGAATAAAAAAAAATAATGTATTATTATTATTATTGAAAATAATAGTAATTTCTTATTATTCTTATTATACTTTTTATTATAATTTTTTTATTCTTTCTCTTCATCATTTGCCGCCTTCTTGCTGTTCTGTGAATCTGATTGCCGGATTATTTGCCCTGTTAGGTGGTACTCTTTCTGAGCATTTTGTGTTATTTTTACAGTAATGATGTTACTAGGGCTGATCTGAAGAAACTGCCTGCACTTCCTACACAAGCACTGAAGGAGCACCCTTCGCTCGCATATTGGTGAGAGACACACACAGCTGTCAGCTGATAATGAAGAGGTATTAACAAGATGTATCTGCTCCGTGTTTTAGAGCACCATGGGAAAGGATTACCTTGAATAATTAGCTAACATAATTTACCTCAAATTCTATTTGATGCGAATGAAGTGTTTCACAGATGCTGCATTTCGGGGACGCACACACTCACTCACTCACACATTCATAATGAGCAGGCCGGTGTACTTCCTGTTCTAAGAATGAACTTATCTCCTTCATGGTGTTGCGTTTCATTGGCTGTGTCTCTGTACATCTGTAAGCTCTCACTCTTGTCCGCTTCGTGTTCCTGTGGAATCAAAATAGGCTGACAGACACATTCTCATGAACATTGTCATCTGTTGCCTCTAATGTGTGTGTGTGTGTTGCAGTGAGGACCGGGTCATTGAGCACTATAAGAAGCTAAGCGGACAGTCCAGAGGCCAGGCTATCGTCAAGTAAGACAGCGAGAAAGAATGTTATGTCCAAAATGTTCCACTAAGTTTGACGACCAGAAAGTGTCCAAATGCTTTTCATCTTAAATGGATTGTTCACCCAAAAATCAAAATTCTGTCATTATTTCTGTCATTCCAAAAATTACTTTCTTACTTCTGCGGAACACAAAAGAAGATACAGCAGTTTTGTCCTTATTATTAAAGTCAATGGCGACACAAACCTCAAATATCAACATGTTTGGTAACAGAGAGAGCAAGAGTGAGATTTAATGTTTTGGAGTCCATTGACTTTCATTATGGAAACTGTGCTTGTTTTGTGTTCTTTTGATTCAGTCATTCATGCATTTTAAGCGTGCCTGAAGTATCCAAATCTTTTTTCTACTTCCGAAATCCACTCCCACGTGTTTTCTGCTAATGTTAATTGTTTGCATATGGAACATACATAACATATTGTCAATGATTTCTTCTTTCTTCTCTCTCACAGTTATATGAGTGTAGTGGAGTCATTGCCCACATATGGAGTGCATTATTACGCTGTTAAGGTGGGTCAGTCTGCTCGGAGGGGAAATTTATAAGCATAGCCGTCAGTCCATACACACACACACACACGTATGTTCTCACAACCTGCAGTATCGGCACTTTAGTTAAGTGTTAAAGGATGCTTAAGACTGTGTGTTTAAGATAATCATACTTTCATCAACCATGAGCTGACACTACTCATCTTATCGTCGTGTGTGTATTAATGCGTGTGTCTCTCTTGCTCTCTCTCAGGATAAGCAAGGTATCCCATGGTGGCTGGGTTTGAGTTATAAAGGCATTTTTCAATATGACTACCAGGACAAAGTCAAACCAAGAAAGGTAAGACCGTCTTTCCTCTGTGGACTTACAACAGTTTGACTTTTGTTTGTCCTCTCTTCACATCTCTTCATCTCCATTATCTCTTAATGGTTTTGCTTCCCTGATGTTAATTAGTAGTTCTTGGCTTTGCATAATTTGTCCTGCACCATTTGTGCTACAGACCTGAACAATACCTTAACTTGTTGAGGAGAGGTGTTTCACAATCAGACTTGCGATTGTCACTTGTTAGGTGATTTTTTTGACTTAGGCAACCACCCAAAACCAGTCACTTCCCTAAAGCTCTTATGAAGCTATGTTTCTTCATGAGGGAAAGAAAAAAATTCATACTTCTTCTTTAAAACTCTCTGCTTTGCAGAAAATCCAGTGGATGTAAGCAGTTTTCCTGTCGCTGTGTTTTGAAACTTAGTGTGAGCTTCCTCAAGTGTGTGTTTGTGAATATGTGTTCATCACCTGGTCACCTTTGCTTAACCTCATGACATCATCCATTAGAAGTCTGACCGTCTGACACTCGGGTGTGGTGACCTCAGAGAGGTCATGACCTCTGGCAGTCTGACCCCATATACCGTTTTTCTTTGTGTAACTTTAGACAGAGATTCTCAAACTTCCAGACAGACAATCAGTGACACCCAGTAACTGAAATGCTACAGATCTGTCTCAATCAAAAGAATCGCTTGCTGTCAGAATGACTTTACTTCAGGTGTGCGCCCCGCTAGCTTTGGTTTTCCATTCTCACAGCACACACCCGTGTTTAAATTCTCTCCAAAGGACAGGCAAAAACTTCAGCCTGTGGTGAGGAACAGAGAAACCTTTCCGCAAACCGCAAGCTAAAAATAGCTTTCAAAGCAGCAAAGTCCAGCCAAGCGAAAAGCCAAACTCATGCCTATTTACAGAGAAGGATCTGTTACAGAAAGTGAGTTAAAATGAAACGACGCAGCAGAGGTCAGCTCAGAATGGAGGGAAGAGAAACCAGCAAGAAGAACAAACGCTGCTGCAAAAACGCCACAGATGCAAAATAAACAAAATTATAGTTCCACTGACAAATCCACCTAAACCTGGATGACGATTTAAAGGGATAGTTCAATCAAAAATGAAAGTCACCATTTACTCACCCTCATGTTGTTCCAACTCTGTAAGAATGATTTTCTACTGCAGAATGCAAAATAATATATTTTTCTACTGTTTTTATGCAAGTCAAAACAAGATTGGACCCCATTGACTTTCATTGTAAGGACAATTATTTTATTTTTTTATATCTTTTATTTTTCACAGAAGATTGAAAGTCCTCATGTTTGTAATGACATGAGGGTGAGTAAATAATGACAAAATGTTTAGTTTTGTATGATCTATTCCTTTAATTACAGTGGGCAATCAGACGTCCAGTCCTGCATGAAATGCCAGTCTGCTACTTTCTATTGATCTGATCTGCGTTTCAGATGGGTCATTGCCACTGATGTTCTCATTACGCAGCTTGTCTCCATCACACATGCACGTTTTTGTGTTTTGATGATAAGCTTTCATGCGCTAATAGTTAGTGGCTGTTCTCCATCTGTGGGCAGTGTGTGGGACTGTGAGATATACAGTTAAAAATGCCACACGGTAAAATTTGCAGACTTAGTGAGTGAGTGGTTGGGTTTATTTAATGATTTTCAAACTAATTTAAACCCTCTCCTAATGAGAGCATCTGTGCCAAAGTGTGTGTGTGTGTGTGTGTGTGTGTGTGTGTGTGTGTGTGTGTGTGTGTGTGTGTGTGTGTGTGTGTGTGTGTGTGTGTGTGTGTGTGTGTGTGTGTGTGTGTGTGTGTGTGTGTGTAAAGTTTTACAGAGGCGTGACCAGTATATTTGTGGTTTCGTCATGAATTGTGGTGCGTGTGATTCTCAAGAGCTATTGTCCTCTACCTAAACCCCCTCCAGCAGCCTCCCTGACTCCAAAACCCGCAACAGGAAACCCAGCAGCAGACACCCGCAGGATTACTGTCGCCCTGACAACACAAAACATGCTGGAAACATTAGTGCGTCTCGGGACCACTCCCCAAAAACTGGCATGTGTGTTGCTGTTTCTGATTCGTTTGGATCAGCTCATTAGCTCCAGTTACTAAAAGACTTGTGCCTTATAAAACATATGGACAGCAAAGCAAATATGAAAAGTGCATTGTTGCCTTTCTAGCCAGATGTGATGCTATAGCTATGAATCATGAGATTGCTACCCCTGAGTCACCGGTGATTGTTTTCATCCTGTCTGCTGCTGGTGACCTTTGACCTCTCCAATGCCCTGTCTTTTCTCATAAGCGCTCATTATAGCTCTGGCTAAGTAAATACCATGCCCCACACACACAGTCTTCCTGTACTCTGTATGTGTGTCTTTGTGAGAGAGAGAGAGAGAGAGAGAGAGAGAGAGAGAGAGAGAGAGAGAGAGAGAGAGAGAGAGAGAGAGAGAGAGAGAGAGAGGGGTTGGGAGTTTATTGTATTATTCTGTGTACAGACAGACTGCAGGGTGGGCGTTGTGCGTTATATTAAAAGGAACAGCAGTGAATGTGAGTCATAGTGATGACACACCTATGACATTTACTAAACTCCCTTATATTGGAACATTCTGTGTAAGCAGGTTTTGGCCAGCTAAGTGGTTAGCTGTTCTAAAACCTAGTTGGCTGCTTATATAGGCAAGATTTTAAGGCATCATTTTGTCAATGAAAAGTCTTTTTCAAATAGTAGACAACAAAATTAGGCTCATTTTGGCCAAAATCTTAGGCTGCATTGCATGTATTATTGACAGACCATGAATGCATTTTGCACTGTTTGCAAAATGTATTGCAGTATTTGTTTACATCCAAAATGGTTGGAATTTGTGAGAAGGTTGACTAAACACTAGTGTTCAAAAGTTTGGGGTCGGTACGATTTTTTTGATGTTTCTCTTATGCTCACCAAGGCTGCATTTATTTTATCAAAAACTATAGTAATATTGTGAAATATTACTACTATTATTATATTATTTAAAATATCTGGTTCTACTTAAATATATTTAAAAATGTAATTTGTGACCCTGGACCACAAAACCAGTCACATGGGTAATTTTTTTTAAGATTTATACATCATATGAAAGCACAATAAATAAGCTTTCCATTGATGTATGGTTTGTTAGGATAGGACAATATTTGGGCGAGATACGACTATTTGAAAATCTGGAATATGAGGGTGCAAAAAAATCAAAACATTGAGGAAATCGTCTTGAAAGTTGTCCATTTATGTTCGTGATTGTGCTGCATTCACTCACAAAAATAAATGTTTTATATATTTATGGTAGGAAATTTACAAAATATCTTCATGGAAAATGATCTGGGCCCGTATGTATAAAGCCACTCAGAGTAAAATTTTAGTCTCAAGTCTGTCAAAATTCTAAGAATTACATAGTTTTACTCTTATTCCTAAACTTAAGAATAAGCGTGATTCATAAAGGTTCCTAGGTGTTAAGACTTGGTCTCAGCTCCTAAATTATGCTGGAGAGGTCTCCTAACCTAGTTAGGAGTAACAAGATGGCAGCAGAGAGGTTAGGCCATGCACTTTTCAACGAAAATATGATGTAGTTAAATGAGTTGATCAAACGATAAAAAGGTTTAATCATCAAGGTATTCTTTTTGTATCTTACCTTTTAAAAAAGTTTTATAGCAATGAAATTAAAGTAATAATTATATTTTTGGGGACTGGAATGCAGCAGTGCACCGGTGATGACTCGGGCCCTTCAGTCCACAGTTATAGGCTCTAGAATAACACTATTGTGACACTGACCACACCAAATATACAGTGGTGGCCAAAAGTGATGTGCAGAGTTTTTTTTTATTATTTTTTTATTTAATGACCCTACAAGTTTGCTTCAACCTTTTATGAGGAAAATATTTGTATATTAATATTTTTTTAATATTTTAAAATATGAGGGAAGAACAAAACACTAAACTTAGTGAAAGTATTTATCTGACAAAATTATTTCAAGTCACCTTTATTTCTACAGTGCTTTTTACAATACAGAATCAGCTTTACTGAGATTACAGGAAAATAATGCAACAAAGTTAGTCTTGACTGTACAGCAGCTCTAGAAGAGAATAGTGTCATTGTCCTGCTTAAGTAAGTTCAGTGTTTATTAATTTCAACCAGAAAGACTCGGGAGGCAAAATGACGTGACAAAGTATACATTTATTAACAGCCCATCAAGCAAGTATTGTGTTATAAAGTTCTGTTGCGTAGGCCCCGTCCGTAGCTCGCAATCCGAGGGTAACGGAGTCTGTTTTTACTGCCTGAAGACGCAGGCGGAGCGCAGCCGACCCCCGGGAGGTATGAGGTATGGACAGGTGAAGGACCCCCGGGTGACGTGACAATTTAGTCTTCCTGGCAGAACTTAAGCTTTAATTTCCATTGTAAAAAAATCATTAGTTATCTATTTAGTTCATTTATCAATACAGCCGCTCTGGAGAAAACAGTGATGTCATCGTCCAGCTCAGTTCAGTTCTCATATAATGGTGTCATTGCAGGCAGATCAATATTATTTTAAAAATATTAACTGACAAATAAGGGCAAACTACAGCTACAGGTTTTAGAAAAATTAAAAAGCTCACAGGAGAAAAAAATCATACATTGTCTGCAAAATAATCATTTCTTAATATTTCATTGTCCTCTCTTGTTTTTTCACCTGTTTATAATTTATATGTATTGCTAAAAATTATGTCTGTACAATTTGGAATGTTTTATTGTGTTATCACAAATAAACAATTGACTCCAGGCACAACTACACAATACGCTTACAAAATATTGAACACATTTTTAATACTATTTGAATAAAGGGTGAATCTGACAAATTTCCTTCAATACTAATTTGTGATAATTTTGCACAATGCAAAGCCATTTAAAAAAATACATTTAAATATTAAAGTTTCAGTGTCTTAATTAAATTATTTTATTATAATTACATAAAATAATTGGTGTCATGCTGCTGTGACCTCACCCTTGCAGGCTCAC